GACCGGGAGAGGTTTTTGAAGGAGACCTCCGTTCTGTAAAGCCCTGACTTACTGGACCAGTTGAGACTATGGGCATCACCCACCCAGACTCTGGAGGCCCATGAGGTACTCTTCACACCTGGCACACAGTCCCAAGCTCAATCACAGATGACCTGTGAGCTAAAGAATAGACTTGGCTCACACAAGGAAGACCATGCCTTGAGGGAGTTCTGAGTTCCTGAAGATAAGTCCCTCTTAGTACGGCCAACGATAGTCCCTCAACTAAAATGAAAATAAGTAATTAAAGAACAATCTTACGGAAAACGTCACTAGAACATGGGTGTTTTGTGTTATCAAATGATTTTACTGACATCGAGTCAATAGGCGGCGGTTTGGCCTTTGAATCTGGTTGTGGGGAATGCCATCTGTGGGTTTCCAGTGATTTCTGCCTTCCTGAGGAGCCGGGTGTCGTGGGTTCCAAGTGGGACTGCTAACTGCAAGATCCGCAGCTCGGAATCGCCAGCCGATCCACGGGAGAAATGTGCAGCTCTCGACCCGTAGAGAGTTAGTCTTGGAAGTGCCCGGCCCTGGAGGGTTGCCAGGAGTCGGCCTCAGCTCGAGTGAGTGAGTTTGGTCTGGTTTTGTGCTTGTCGGGAGGCTCAGCTTGGAGGGGAAATGTGACCCTTTTGATATTCAGGTGGATTTGCTCAGCTAGCATGTGCACGGTTCTTGTGTCTGTGTTCGTGAGTTAACCAGACCGCCGGTTCCTTTTGAGCAGCGTCTTCTTCCGGAGCTGTTATCAGGGTTTTGCTGACCTATCAGAAAAGCTGGAGACCAAGCCCTCTTTTTCCATTCCTGAAAGAATTTGTGTAAATTAAGATAATCCCTTGCTTGAGAGGTTGGCAGAACATGCCTATAAAACCATCTGCCTTTGTATTTTTTGAGAGGGAGGGGGAGATAGTTTTAATTTCATGCAAGTGGTTGTTGCAAGTACTTCTGCATTGTCCTCGGAGAACTCGACTTGACTGAGGTGTAGTTCACATGCAACCAAAGACCGGTCTCACCAGTTCATCCCCTACTCTCGCTCTTGGCCGCAAGCACTAGCGACCTGATTTCTCACACTACTTGCTTATTCTAGAACATGGGTTCCTGAACTTACTTGCCCTACTGCCGCTTTTCAGAAAGGGGAAAAACAAATCACCCAGCAACTCCCTTGGCAATTAAAAACTTACATATGATCAAAACTCAAACTCAATCCCATGAATTGCTTCTGACTCCCGGTGAGCCTGCAGGACAGAGCAGAACTGCCGCTAAGGGTTTCCAAGACTGCTGTGGCCCTTGACTCAAGTAGAACGCCTCTCCTATCCCCCTCAGAGCTGCTGCTGCATCAAACTGCTGTCTTTACGGTCGCAGCCCAGTGTGGGCTGGCAGGAAAATGCTACTAGCTGGGGTGGGTCTGAGAAGGAGAGGGGAAAAGAGGGGGGCTTTTCTTCAACGCCAATGGCACGCCTGGCATGTCCATGTCGTTTCTCTCCATCTTCCAGCAAGGCTAGCTGAGGGCACGGGCTCTGTCTCTTCTTCCTCGGTTCAATCCACGGAGGCAAGCAGAAAGTGAGGAGGGCTTACCACCTTTATAGGAACAAACTCACTTGCACAAAAGAAGACCGTTCTGTTTTCAGTTACATTCGTCTTTTGTGATCATGCACCACATGGGACCTCAGTCTGCTAATGCCACCCCACCCCACCCCCCACCCCCGACCCAAACTCACTGCCATTGAGTCAACTGTCACTCATAGCGAACCTACAGGACAGGGCAGAGTGCCCCTGTGGGTCTCCGAGACTGTGACTCTTTGGAAGTAAAAGCCTCATCTTTCTCTTGTGGAGTGGCTGGTGGTTTTGAACTGCTGGCCTTCTGGTTAACAGCCCCGCACACCACTGGGTGTCTTAGTCTGCAGATGGCTTAGCCTGAGTCAGAAGGGACTCGGCAGACATCCGACAACGGGCATGGCTCTCTTCATTCTCTATGATTTAATGTAACTTGGTATTACCGGGGGGTGGGAGGTGGAGGCTGAGAGATGGCTTCTCAGTCACCTGAGAGGCCGCCACAGGAAACCCTGGGGTGGAGGAGCCAAGTGGGTCAGGAAGCCCCTCCTGGGGCAGCTCCCCCCAGGACCCGGGTTTCTGAATTGCAGTTCCGTCACATCCCCAGGACGGAAGGCCTGGCTCTGACGTGTGTCCCGAAGAAGCAGAGCCACTCACTGGGCATCCCTCCCACCCCCTTACCCTCCACCAGCAGCCCTGGCAAGTGGGGGAAGGGAGCTGTGAGTCAGGAGAATCCTGCGGAGGCTTCTTAAAATAGATGGCTTCACAGGGCCCCTCACGGTGGCTGGCTTCCTCCTGGTAAAGGCAAATCTGTCTGGGAAAGGAAGTGAGGCCCACAGGGACCCCACTAATTGAAAGCCCGCAGACTACAGAGAGCGTGAAAACCCTTGCTCGGCCAGCAGGTGGCGAGACGTCATCGCACAGGAGGCCCGGCGAGAAGCTGGGTGCTCACAAACCCGGGGAATGCCTCTGGAAGGCACAGGGCACAAGGAGCCAGCGGGGCTGCCCAGGTCCAACGTGCGGGTGACCACACACCAAATGGTAATGAGCCCTCTACAGATGGAGTTGAGGCTGGCAGCACTCGCTCGCCCAGCGCACAAGGAAGGGCACCATTTATGACCAGGACCCCTCGTTTTCACCCAGAGGAGGGAGAGGCGGGTGCTAATTTCAGTTGTCCCCACCCCTCTGTGTTCCCAGAGAACCTCCTGGGCCTGGAGCCAGGGTTTTTCTAGTGTGCTCCGCCTCCCCAATTCCACGCACCTGGGCCCCTCGGTCGTTGACCAGCTCCACGGACCACCGGCCTTCGTACTGAATCCACACGAATATCCCGCCGTCTGCGTCGCACGTGGCCAGCTTCTGGTACGGCTCGTTCCACCTCACCAGCACAACCTGGAGAAACCGAGACAGGAAACCGCGGCCATCAGACCTCACCGAGCTGAACGCGGTGGAGCCAAGTCAAAGTCGATCCAGGGACACGCATGCCTGTGGTCACAGGGTGGTGCGGGGCTGACCCGGCATCGTTTCCTCCTGAGGGGCATGAAGCTCCCATGAGTCCTAGCCGACTGACTCAGAGCAACTGGGAGTCCAAGGACAAGGTGAGAGAGAGTGTGGGGGGTCCGTGGCAGGGACTCACATAGGACAGCGTCACATGGAGCCAGATCCATCGTGACCCAGCTACCTGACCAACAGCAGACACCTGTGGGGACAAGGAATCACGGCACAAAGTCGCCTTGGCCACACAGGTGCGCAGCCCCCGGCTCATCTGTCCCCAGTCCCTGCCTCTTGGCGGCAGCACACGCGAGGCCCCCTGGTCTGATGGAATGTGCGTCCCCCCAAACCCACCGGGTACTCTCACCAGGACGCTTCATGCAGAGAAAGGTGTGGCTCCTACTGAGCTTCGTTTTCTACCAGGAGTTAAAATGTCGACTTTTTTATTGACTCCCCCACCCCACCCCTGCTACCTCATTTCCTTCTTAGTTCAGTGTGTCATCATGGCCAATTTGTGTGTGTGAGTGTGTGTGTGTGTGTGGGGGGGGGGCACAGTTAATGTCTACGTTGTCCGGGGTTTATCACAGAAGAAGGACAAAGACATTATAAGCTTCACAAATGTCGGGTATAGAAGAACTTAGGTTTATAAATGGAAGAGCTCCGAGCCAGACAAATCATGTATGTAGGTTTCACCTGCCAGAGTAACCGTTCCCTCACTTAAGGAAGAGGGGGCGCTCGAGGCTGCGTGTGGGACCAGGCAAACCCCGTCGCCAGCTTTGCCACAGGAGTTGGTGCACAGCCCGCACAGAAGGACAGAAAAATACTGGTGGGAGCAAGGGGGAGAAACGGTGCCCAGGGCGGTGGGCCGAAACCCCAACCTGTGTCATGCTAAGTGGGAGGAGCTGAAGCCTCTACCTTCAGAGGTCAACAGTCCGTTCACGGACACAGAGGGAGAGCTATAGAACCGTTCGTTCCAAGAGGATGCACGCCAAAAGCATGTGCCAGGGCTGCACCTTTTCACCATACGGATCCGAGTGGTCTGCATGCTGAGCGAGTCACCCGAGACGCTGGGCTAGAAGCAGAAGAACTTGGCACCGGGGCGGAGGAGGGCCACACTGAGGCACTACCTGGCTTGCTGAAAGCAAAGGGGCCTCAAAGCATTTACTGGTGCAGGTCAAAGGCCACACCGCCTTCAGGATGGGTTACAGCCCAACACGAGGAAAACAAACGTTCTCCTAAGTGGTCCAATCAGCAATGCCGTGACCTATATGGACCCTACTGAAGCTGCCACGGCTCTCCTTTTACGTGGCCCGGCAACACCCATGGAAGCAAGCCGTCCCCAAACCCAACAACGCGTGTCCTGGACAGATCTGCCATGAAACACCTGTTTAAAGAACCAGAGAGTAGAGATGGCCCTCCGAGGGCTAAGGTGAACTGGCCCCACCCCATGGTATTTTCAATCACCACACCTGCAGGGGGCAAGCGAGACAGGGAATAAGGAGGGTTGAAGAAGAATGGATGGTTTTGAAGGGTGGTGTTGGAGAAGGAAACAATATACGGTGGACTGCCAGCGGAACAAACAGGTTTGTCTGGGGAGGCCACACAACTAGAATGTTCCCCAAGCAAGGAGGGCGAGACTCCGAAAGCCCGAGTGCTGGGGAAGGGCTCACTAAGGTGGAGGTCAGCAGAGACGAGGGAAGCCGCCTGGTCACAACAGCGGGCTGGAGCGCAGGGTTCTGCTCTGCCAGGCCTGGCGTCACCGCCAGGCTGAGCCAACCGGAATCGTCGTCGTCATCAAACTATCCACACAACATGGAATTCCATCACTTCTACAAGCCTCACAGTGGGCACACCACTACTTTGAGGTCTCTACATCTGCCCCAGTGTAGGAGAGTGCCGGGGCAGGCTCTGACCTAGTCAGCCTGGACCGCGGTCTCCAGCCAGCCCTGGTCCAGGACATCAGATGGCATGTCAGCACTTGTGGCAGACTGCAGATAACAAAATCCTGAAATATTCCAAAATGAAATGATTCACCCATCTGAAATGTAGAGAGGCCTATGGCTCTTCAAAAATTGCAAAACTGAAGAAAGCTGCGATGTTTCATGGTGCCTGGGGTGCAGGGTGTGGATGTGAAACACTAGGCTGCAGGCAGAAAGACCGGTGGTTCAAACCCACCAGCTGCTCCACAGGAGGAAGCCGGGCAGCCGGCTTCCATCAAGGTCCACTGCCTTGGAAACCTGACCAGCAGTTCTGTCGTATCATTTCCTAGGAGTCAGCACCTACCTAGGGTAGTAGTTTATAAAATGAAATTTCAATCTTTTAAATCTTGGTGATCCCTTCCCGACAAGATCACTGAAGACAAAGCAGGTGCATAAGCAAAAGTGGTGAAGAAAGCTGATGGTGCCCGGCTATCAAAAGATACAGCATCTGGGGTCTTAAAGGCTTGACGATAAACAAGCAGCCATCTAGCTGAGAAGCAACAAAGTCCACATGGAAGAAGCACACCAGTCTATGTGATCAGGAGGTGTCGATGGGATCAGGTGGTGTCGATGGGATCAGGGATCAGGTATCAGAAGACCCAGAACAAACAATTATATCATTGTGAATGAGAGGGAGTGTGGAGTGGAGACCCAAAGCCCATCTGTAGGCAACTGAACATCCCCTTACAGAAGGACCTCAGGGAGGAGACGAGCCAGTCAGTGTGCAGTACAGCATCGATAAAACACAACTTTCCTCTAGTTCTTTAATGCTTGTTCCCTGCCCCCACTATCATAATCCCAAATCTACCTTACAAATCCGGCTAGGCCAGAGGATGTACACCGGTACAGATCAGAGCTGGAAACACAGGGCACCCAGGACAGATAAACCACTCAGGACCAATATTGAGAGTAGCACTATCAGGAGGGGACAAAGGGAAAAGCGATCACAGTGATCTACATATAACCCCATCCTGGGGGGATGCACAACAGAAAAGTGGGTGAAGGGAGACATCGGTCAGTGTAGACATGACAAAATAATAATTTATAAATTATCAAGGGTTCATGAGGGAGGGAGGGAGGGAGGGAGGGAGGGAGGGAGGATGGGGGGAAATGAGGAGCTGATACCAAGGGTTCAAATAGAAAGAAAATGTTTTGAAAATAATGATGGCAACAGATGTACAAATGTGCTTGACACAATGGATGTGGAAGTATGGATTGTGATAACAGTTGTACAAGCCTCCAAAAAATGATTTAAAAAAAAATCCTGGTGATCTCTAGTCAAATCTAGTCCAGGTGGTTACAAGTTCATCTAATCTAGGCATGTTACAATCTACTTTCAGGGAGGAGGCAGCTAAAACTGCCTTCAAGGGTCCCTGGCAGCTTTTTCCTCTGAAGAGACTCCTGGCTGGGCCACCGCTCCTCCACCTGGTGCTCACCCAGGGCTCAAACCCCTCAGGTATGAGCCTGCCCTTCCCCTCAGCAGCTCTGTGCCCATCTCTGAGGACACAGCAGTTCTGAATATGTTGTGCCAAGTAATCCATCCATAATTAGAAGTTATGGCCCTGGGTAACATACCTGGGCCTGTAAAATGTGCTGAGAATGATCGCCAGTAGCCTGCCCCCGGGGGATTCAGTGTGATGAACAGACCACACCCCACTCGGCCATCTCCAGGTGGAAGCCGCACACAAAGCCCCGGTGGAGACAGGCAGGGCCATGGGTCCTGATGCCTTTGAAGTCCAAATCCAGTTCTTTTAACACTCCTTCATCTAGATGACTGATCGGAATTTTTAAAAAAGTCAAACCAACAACAACAAAAGTCTGTCACTGACAATGAATGTGTTATAGGACGTAGAATTTCCCGATGACTGATCAGAGCTGTCTCCATAAACATCTTTCAGACCCAAGACAATCTGCTCCAAGCACCACGACCCACAAACGGGTGGTGGGGCAGCTTGGCCCCGCATGATTGCCTCCATTTCTGGAATCATGGACCATCTAGGCCAGTGGTTCTCCACCTTCCTCATGCCACGACCCTTTCACACAGTTCCTCAGGTGTGGTGACCCCCAACCATAACATTATTTTCATTGCTACTTCATCACTGTCATTTTGCTACTGTTGTGAATCATCATGTAAATATCTGATAGGCAGAATGTGTCTTCATTGTTACAAATTAAACAAATAAGCACAGTGATTAATCACAAAACAATATGTAATTATATATTATAAAACATTTATTTCTAGTGCCAAATAAACGAAATATTGTCTTGAAGCATGGCGTAGCATGAGTAACAGTCTTCACGCCGTGTACTCGTATGTGGGCGTATCTGCATGTGGGCAGACCCGCCTGGAGACAGAAGAGCGGTGTCTTGGTTTTAAGACCATTGGAAATGTGTTTTCCGATGGTCTTAGGTGACCCCTGTGAAAGGGTCGTTTGACCCCCAAGGGGGTCTCGACCCACAGGTTGAGAACTGCTGATCTAGGCCATAATCATTAGCGCTCAACATACAAGTGGTTTTCACAAGATCTGTGGGAAAATGCCATGTCTTTGAATTAGGGGACAGTTTACAGAGTAATCTTGGGTCTTATGTTCAACAACTCATTCCACGTTGTCCCGGGACAATCCCAAGATGACACCTCTACCCCACTTCTTCCCTGTGTCTCCTGCTTCCGTCCACCCTCGGCTCTGGCCTTGGGCGGAAGCTGTGCTTTAGGACTCCGTGGCTGATGGACCTCACTGGTGCTCCTGTTCCCCCTATGACAGGACTGTAGTGAGCCACATGGTTGGGGTCAGCTTCAGACCTCACGGGGGGCTACGGGGCATTGGTCCCGGGGTCCCACCCGTCTCCATCCAACTCTCCAAAGTATTTCATGCTGTATTCTGTTGAGCAAGTGTGAGTTTCATGGTGCAGTAAGACGGGTCA